CACACACACACACACACACACACACACACACACACACACACACACACACACACACACACACACACACACACCCCACACACAAACACACACACGGGCTCGTGCGCGAGTGGTCATGCAAGCACAAAGAGAGAGAGAGCCAGAAATAAACTTCTTGTTTCTTGCCATAATTATTGTTTGCCATTTCAGGGGCTTTAGCTCTTTTTCCAACAACGGGAGCAGGAAGTGGGATGGCTACCTTTGAAGCAAATAAAGCAAAGAGCCAAAGATTGTCCACTGGAATTTGGATCGTGCCAATTAGGAGAACAGGTCCCCAGCCTGCAGTGCTTAGGTTAAAGAAGAATTCAACTTGATGTCCCAAGGAAAACATGAAGCAATAAGCAATAGCAAGGCATGTTTCGAGCTCTCCTCTGTAGCCAACAAACCCATTCATTGAATTTCACTCTCATTTTACTTCTCCCCTTCACCACGTTCCTGTTTTACGGTTCCTTCATTTCGCCCAGTTGAATGATCACATTTGCTCCAACCAAAGATTGCAACTTGGTCCTAGGTTCGTTACTCCGAGAAATGTTATTTCTGGCATTGTAGCACAAGCGATCTACAACACCATGTTTTGAATAGGACAAAGCAAATAATCCCAAGTCCCTCACTGCCCTCCTCCCCCACCCCATCCAGCCACCACCCGCAACACATACCATCTCTCCCCAATTTTTCCAAAGAGGGGTAGGCCACAACACTACTGCATTTCTGACCGGGTTTCAGCTCTTGATCTTGCCGATCACTAGTCATACACGTATGCCAAGTGGCCGCCTCACAAATGCACAATTTCTCGGAGCTAAAAAAGGAGTCATAGGTACGGGGCTATGTCTCGTTCGAGAAAACTACAGGTTTGCAGAGTTGCTGGCCTTGAAAACAAATGAGAAGCAGAGAAATGCAAATGATTCTAACCGCGACAAGTTATATGCCACCCCATTAATCTTCTGATTTCAATTCCTCTCCAATGGTGTTTTAATTCTAGCCTGACATCAAAACAGCAATTCATGCACTGATCAAATAAGCCAAACAGGGGCTTAGAACTCAAAAGGGCATTTGTCACTTTTCTCAAAAAGTTTCTGCCTATCATTGTCATACAGACGACATGAATTGCAACATGAATGGATACAGCAGTCCAGCACAGTGGCGTTGCTGACGACATCGGTGAATGGATACAGGAGTCAAGCACAAGGTTGAGTATAGCCGCCTTCCAAAAGAGTGCCTGCAAGGAGAAAGACCAGCACATATCAGGCCTTTACGGAAAGAAACATCAAAGGGCAGCTTTTCTGCTGGGGTGAATTGCACACATCAGCGTCAGCAATATACTTTTTTGTTTTTGTTTTTGTTTTTTTTTTTGTTTTTTTTTTTGTTTTTTTTTTTGTTTAAACAAACGCTCCAATCTATTTGTGGGGAGCAGCACGTGCTGGGAACCGGGCCCAGTGTCCCATATCAAATTGTACAGATCATTAAGAACATTGAGAACATTTGAGATCATTTGAGATACCGGGGCCATTACCCGGCTTCGGCTGAGATCAGTCCATGAATATCTAATGACCTATTAAAGAACTACTCATGCAGTAGGCTGCCACAGAGGTCCTACGAATGCTCACATCCCTCAGAATTCCTAACAAGCCCTTCTAAGACTTTCCAACACAGCTGGCGAAGGGTTCAGGGGGTAGGGTTCTCCTCAGACCTTAACAGTGGAGGGGCAAAACACCTCCTGATTAGACTTCCACGGGAGATTGGCAAGCCTAAACTTCTACAGCTATGGTTGGATAGCAGGGAGAGGGACCAAAAGACCAGAACAAGGGGAAAACACCGTCTCAAAGGGATGATGGGTCGAGGGCTTAAGGTTCAGGGCTTTAGTGATGACTTAACTTTTAAGAAAGGGGGACAGATAGAATGGGACAGGGGTTATCACGCCTCACGGGCAGGACAGATGAGTGGGGATGAGGCAGGCCAGCAGGCATTAAGGGGGAGCTCTTTCTAGGTGGCATAGTACTATTTGACAGATTTGGCCTCCAGATCTGAGAGGAAAGAGAGGGATATGCCAAGCTGGCAGTTAATCCTCCACCAAGGTGGAGCAATCAATGCTGTCCAGGGGCCCTTCGGCCGAACGGAAGGAAGCGTGTGTGAGTCTCAATGTAATGTATATTCTGACTTGCCGGTGGAATAGGAACCGGACTGACGCTCCCCAGAATAGAACGGAGCCAGGACCATAAGGCCCTGTTTAAAAAAAAAAAAAAAAAAAAAAAAAAAAAAAAAAAAAAAGACTTTCCAACACAGTCTTACTCCCAGCTGAGCTCTTCCAGGCCTCACACCCGCACCCTGCTGGGTTACAGGGCAACACAACTCGCCCCAGCTCCGACCAGCGTCGTCCCAGCAGCCAACCTTGGCTGTCCCTTGGGATGCCCACCCCAAAGCATCCCCAGGTTAAAATACACAAAATCATTCAACTTATGAAAACCAGCACCGGCCAGTGTCGTTCTGGCATCGAACAGCCGCAGATCACTGAGTATAACCGCTTCAAAACCGCCTACGATGGGATGCTAAGAATCCCTAGAGTCCTAAGACATTTGTAAGAACCACCGACAAATCAATATACTATGTTGGAGCTTATGCAAGTAAAATCACTTCAGTCCAGAGAGGTGCTCATTCACCAACCAATGATCCACAGAGCATAAAATACAAAGATGGGAGTAGCAGCCATCCATCCACGAGGGTATGCGAGAGGAGAGTGAAGCATCAAGATAGCCACAAACTCGTCAAAACAGTAATCGCATATCAATGTACGATCATGATGGTTCAAGCCCACATCCGTTGATCGTCGCCCTCGTCCTTCTCCCTCCAAAACGAAGTATCCCCAGTGCTATGTCCCTACTATTATCGCTCTCCTCACTCTTCAAGAAGGATTCCATGTCAGCATCTTATCCAAGATGAGTGCAACCAGTGTAAACCAACAATAGGCTGTGGACTCCCAATACAACACCAGTGTTATCACAGTAGCATATAGTGGCTATGGCCACCAGTCTCTTCCAGCTCCTCCCAAGTGAAAGCTCCTTCTCAAACCAAGTCACTCTCTTCTTGTGCTGATCCCACCTCCACTCACTACTACCAAACCACTACTACCATCTCCACCCAAATAGAACCCAGGGTCATTATGTTGCATCTAGACTGAAAGTTGCCACAAATACAGCTATAGTGAATGTGCGGTGTATCCATTCAGGTGAGGACGGTAGGTGCGCGGCCTGCCTCCCTCCTCTCCTCAGTTATAGCTTCTGGGTACTTGACATTCCCTTGCAATGGCAGCCACTGCAGGAGACAGGGCCAGTGCTTCAGCACTTCACGCAGCTATCGATAGGACGATGGAGTCAACGGCACAAGCCTCGGGGATATACTTACAGCCACTCAGGACAGTGATAGGAACAGAAGCCCGGCTGCCATGCCTGGGACGGACCAATGCTGGAAAACGAGCCACAGTAGTCCAGCTTCTGTTCGGTTAGTGCCCTGGCTACTGGTAGTCAAAGTAATGCTTTCAACAGAAGAGGCAAATGCTACACCCCAGGATGTGAGCCGAACACTGAGTCGCTGAACACAGTTTGCCCTGGATGTAACTCAAAGTAAACTTAGTAAAGTGTGCTAAGCCGGCCTTGCTATGGATCAAGTCTTGGGCGCTTTAAAATTTCCCGAGTTTTTTTTATCTTTGACTTTGACTGAGCAGCACTCTTGGGATTGCACGACAGCTTCCCTGCATAAGCCATTCACAACCTAGCAGTCTTCTAAAAAATCCTCTTCGCCTCCGCCTAGAAGTCTTCTAAAAAATCTTCTCTTCTCCTCTTTGTTTCTGGGTTGGCAGCCACAGGTCCCCGATTGACCACCTCCCCTCTGCAATGGCGATATCCAATCCCACGGGGGAGCTAATCCGCCAGGTTCTACCATCCCCTAAAAGGTGCCAAGCTCTAGCTAGGGGTGTGTAGGGCTGCGTCCTCAGGGAGGCAGGCAAACAGGTATGGGAAAGAAAGAAAGATGTGAGAGAGGAGAGGAGATTTGCACGGTGGGGGCTCCGCAGTGCACAAGCAGCAGCTCTCAGAGGGCCATTTGGGCTCAGTTTTACTACCTTCTCCCTCCAAACAGAACATGCCCTCATCATGAATGCATGTGGACAAGAACAGGGTTTGTATATGTCCATGATGGCCGGGTGTTATATCCAGGAGAAGCGGAGGGTGGGCTCCGTAATGAAGGGTGTTCATGTGCGTGGCTTTCAATGCTGCTATTCAAGATCACAGTGCCTGCTGCTTTCACCCGAAATAAACAACCGGGTGTTATATTCAACTTACCCCAAAAATATAAAATTTCTGCTTTTACAGTTTTACTCACTTTTTTTCGAATATAATGCCCCAGGTTACATTTGAATGTGGCATGGGCAGAGTGCATTGTGGAGGGAGTATACATGGGTTTTAAACGGGGGGAAAGGGGGTATACATGGGTTTTGAAGGGGGATGAAAGGGGTTTTGACTTCCAAGGGGTATTCTAGACAACATTTTGTTTTCTTTTGGTCTGATTTTTTGTTTTCTTTTCTTACTTCCGAATTTATAAGGAATTCTCAAGGGACCCTAGCCAAAAGTTGGTTGCATTACAATTCTAGACAACATAATTTTTACAGAATTTTTTTATTTGTTTTCTCAAGTTTTGGCCCCCAGCGAAGTTGCTCCCATTTTACTGAATATAAACAAATATAACGCCCGTCTGGCATTATTTTGGGGTGAAGACGGTAGCATTAAAGAGCTGCTGCAATCGGGTTTGGGGGCATCTTCTGAACAATGTACTTATTGGGGGGGGGGGGGGGGGGGG